CTGTGTATATAGTTATTTAAATTTGTGACAAATTGATCAGTTTCATATTTATATCTGAGGCATTTAATTTTATTATTTTTTATTATACAATTTTATGTTATTATTTCAAATTTCTAAGACTGTGTTACACTAAAAAAGTTGTTGTAATATTATCTCATAGCCGTTTTGCAATTTGTCTTGAATGTTTTTTTTTTTTTTTTTTAGTATCTATTTTAGATAATGATATATTACAGGTTTTCTACTGACCAATATGAGAAAGTACCATTCTTTATTTTTGGAGACTGTAATTTTTGCCTAGATACCAAAGATGCAATACAGGTAATATCTTCAGAAAAATAAGTTTGCATAGTAATTATAACATTTATATGTTAGATAAATGGAAATAATTATAACAAGATAGCTAAACATTGTTTATTCTGTACTTCTACTAGCTGTTGTTATGTATTAGAGTTATAATATGTATAATCTTACAGTTACATATTTTGCAGTAATATTCCTCTAAAATATCTGAGACACAAATTTTTTAGTATAGTTTATAGTTAGTCATGCAAATAGAATATTCAAATTCGTTAACAGATATCTTAGTATATATTATTTTCTAAAATTGAAGGAATCTACAAGTAACATTGAACTTGCCAATTTAGTTTGAGTTTTACATAGTTGTAAAAAAAGTTTTAATTTCCATGTTTTGCAAAAGAATAATGCACAACTTTAAAAAAATGAGCAAGAGCTTGTAATATTAGTGTCTTGTAATGTTTGATAAAATCACTGGTTTACAGGGGCTGGTGATAAATCTGAATGCATATTTTCTTCCATATTTTATCTTTACCTCCCCCCAACTCCAATTTTTTTTTTAAATGACCAACATAAAAGTTTCGAGAAAAATCAATTTTTATTTATTTTTAGATGTATACAAAACAGCATATTTCACCTTTATACTGAATGTATAATGGCCTACCATACTTTTCCTTTCCTTTGGAAATTTTTCTTTAAAATTTCAAAAGGTTGAAACAAAAAAAGGTTCAAAAGGTACCATTGCTTGCTTTTTAGCATCAGACATGAGGAAGCTTCCACCCTTGTCCTTTCAATTACTGCTCTCAGATTGATTTTGAGTGAAAGCAACAGCTGTCTTTTTCTTCTCTCTAATGAATTCATCTAATGTGAGGCTGTTCATTACTGTATGTTATGGACAGAGATCAATCTCATTATTTAATAACCACACCATGTAGGTGTCTATGCAAACTGGAATTTCATTTGCAGTAACACAGTTAATATGTAAGACTTCAGAATTTTTTCGTATATTAAATGTGCCCACCAATGGGCGAGCGGTAAAATCGCTGAACAGTGGTAGGTATGACCTGGGTTTGATTACAGGCGAACATGCTAGCTGCTTGGGCATTTTCATGATTTTCCTCATGTGTAACGTGTATATGAGCCAGTTTCCCTTAAAATGTTCTCTACAATGGCATCCCTTTAGGCAGATAGCCCTAGTGTGCTTTGCCATAATCAACTAAATCAAACCATATATTAAATATTGACCTCTTTATGTTTATCATTTGTATGTTGCAACACAAGCTAAAATATTAAGAACTTTATAGTCAGTAAGGAGATTTTTGTATCTGCAGATGTGAAAAAACTGAATTCCAAAGAATAGTAAATGACAGGTTAATATGTAATTAAGTGAAAATATTAATTCTGTTGGTGGAGATGAGATTTCCGAAACATAGGGAAGGGAAAACTACTGTAACACAGCTAGAATTATCTATGATATGTGTTTTTCATAATAAACTGAATTGCCTGTTTATTTTTATTCCTCTAGATTAAGTATTACAAAAGCCATGTTCCGAATTTCCTTGATATATCCAGAATACTAAAAAAATCATACTTTTGTTGGACCATGTGTCAAGAAATGCCAGCTAAAGGTGCTAAAAAAGGTGTTGTTAAATAATAAATTAAATATTACTACCATCTGAGTCATTGACTTGAGATGACATCTGAGTCATCTCAGCCTAGTATAATGATATTATACTAGGCTGAGATGGCCAATATGTATTTTGCTTATAGGTCTATGGATAGAAATGGATGTATGTGAAATTGAACGTAAGATATATGTACTGCACTAGCTATTTAACACATCTTTAAGGTCTTTCAGTCCAGATGTAATAAGTATGCACAACTAGTGTTTATCTCCTTATAGAGACAATTACTAGGAATAGGAGATTACAGCCAGCATGTAGAATTTCCACACTGGTTTTTGTAGTTATGTTCTGAAGGATGAATTTTTCCATTGCGGGTATGCATATGTAGGTATATGACAAGCCATATAGCTTTATACTATAAAACTATAGTTCACTATAAATGTTTGCATTGGTACTCTTTGATTGGTCTTTCTTTCTTTCTTCATGACTTGACTAGCGAAAGATATTCCGAGAGAAGATCTTGTCAGAACTGCAGTTTAATGTTCCTGGTGTTTTAATATATTTATTTTTTATACAAATGTTTTAATGATTGAAGCTAATATGTATCCATATTCTAACATATTATTTTATTTATTAACAAGTTTTTGTTAATTTAAGTTTTATGTACTAAATAATAAATAATTCTATCATATCATCAAGTTCTACTTATGATGCTTCTTCCCTAAAATGTATATATATATGACATGTATGGAATGGGCTGAAATATATATACCCAATAACACAGGGGTTCTCAGCCAGGTTGAAATTTCCCCTTGGGGGGAAAATTTTCATGGTTTCATGTGTGGGATGTGGTCAGCCTTTTACTCTTAAACTTGTTTTAGTTTATGTATATAAAAAATTACTCTTATTCAAGTTTTATCAACATTTTCTATACTTTTGGTTTAATTAAAAGAACATTAAAAATAATCTAAATTTAAGTAGATGTATATGCATTTTTCAGTTTTGGAGTTGCATGGGGCAAAAAACTTGAGAGCCACTGCAGTAATGTAAGCTCAAAGTATACCCTCGTAGTTATACCACCATAATATGAAATGTATAACTCTTTCAAAAAAGTTTGTGGAAGAATCATATCACATGTATAAAACTTGCAACAACTGAATTTTGTTGTTAGAGGATGTTAGTATATTCTTTATAAAAGACATATGTGAAGTAATATCTTGTGGGGCAGCATACACAGGTGATCTCATGCAAATAGAAATTAAAGCATCTTTTGACTATTTAGTGTGATGCTGCATTTTGTAAAAAGTGTGCTCGAATGCAAATACTTGTGTTTCTTTGATCGGAGAAAAATTTTCATCAAACCACAACAACCTTTTTGGAAATGTTTTATCCTCCAACTCCATTTTTCTGCATTATTTAAGTGTTTCTGTAAGGTCAGCATTTCTGGATAATACAAGCTTCAGTATGATATAAATGGTGTTCATGTTTTGAAAAAATTTCTTGGCTGCAGTTATCCCCCCCCCCGATATTTGCATTCAATAATTTGTGGTAAGGAAAGGAATAAAAAGTTTTATTATTTAAAAATAATGACTGAGTCATTTCTTAAAAAATACTTCCATGCTAGGTGTTTTAAACTTTGTGCCTGTCATTGTATGCAGGTGGTTGGCACTTATTTATGTTTTACATTTCTGAAAATCAAGTAAGCCTTATATTTAAATTTTAGTGATTTAGATTTATAATTAAAATCTCGGTAATGTTTTTATGTTGATTGATTTTAATATTTCTGTATATCTTTTTCCTTTACTCTTTAATTGAATAATCTGAATATTTTATAAGTTCTGAAATTAATCAAAATTATTATTTAGAAACTGACCAACCAAGCTGTTCCTGTCTATGTCAAAAGTGCCCAAAATGGAGAAGTTGAAAAAATGTTGTATAGAGATCCAGGGAATGAAAATAAGGTAAGTCTTTTATCCTCACGAGCAAAATTTAAAATGGAAATAAAGTAAAATTTCTGCTAAGATTCTGCAATATCCAAGGTGAACTTCTAAATGTAATGTGCAGTGTGCATCAGAAAAATGTATACATACTTTGAACTGTCATAGAAAATTTATTTTCCTACCTACAAAATTAAATTTCTAAGAAAACGTAATGTTATGTTTCCTCAGTAGGTAACAGCAGTCATTGATCTAGCTGTACAATCCAGTTAGTGTCAAGTGAAGTAACATCAACATAGCAGACATATGTTTGAGCTTTCAAGAGCAGATGCAGGTTATTAAGTGGTAGTGAAAGTTTGAAAATATTGCTGTAGTTCAGAGAGAGTGGAGGTGTGAGTGTGGGACTAATCCGCTTTCAAGAGTAATAATTACATGTGTACAAGAAAAATCTAATGTCCGTGGAACAATGTGTGATGTGCATAAAAGCTAATCAGGCCAACCTTGTATGGCTACAAGTGATGAATCTTCATTTGTGGTGCTGGAACTGTTTCAACATTCACCAAAACAAATCTTCAAGCAAGGCTTGCATGAGAGTGGTGTAAGTGCTAGTAGTGTGCTATACATTTTGAAAAAGGGCAAGTTTAGGGTACATTCCAAGGCTGGGGCAACAGCTAAGTGATGATAACCCTAATCGCTGGGTACAGCTTTGTGAACGAGATCAGAAGGTGCTTAAACGCGATTCGGGGTTTATGGATAGCATTGCTTAGTCAAATGAGGCACAATTTAAACTTAATGGAAATGTCACTACGCATAATTGTGTGTAATGGATTGAAAATAATCTCCACATTACTGTTGATAAGCTGTGAATTTTCTTGGTGTGGTTTGTCTCCTAAGGTATCATAGGGTCTTTCTGTTTTGAAGGTACTGTAACTGGAGAAGAGTATTTAACATTGCTTGGTGATTCCATTTTCCTTGCCATTCTTGCAATATGTGGTAATGGTAAGGTATTACCAGCAAGATGACACCTTTCCTCTACATAGCATACCTGGATCAAAATGTACTAGGACATTTTGATAGGGTGCAGGGAACCAGTTGAGTTCCGTGTATGCTCTTCACACCTTACGCTGCTTGATTTTTTTGTATGAGGCACAGTAAAAAATGAAGCGTATTGTTGTTAACCATTCAACCTTGACACACTTGGATAAGATTCTAGTAGTTTGTGCAGAAATCCCATCAGACACTGTAGTGCGAAGCACAAGTCAATGATGATTCATACTCTGAAATACTCTCTTTTGCAAAAAAAATCAAAGCACCATGGAGGAAGTGGTTGTTTTTGATGAAATTGAATATGTATATAGCTCATACATAGATAATAAAATAATGAAAAAAGTAAGGTCATAGTACCTGTTCATGGCTCATAATCACCCACTGAATGTTCAAATTCTATAGTACAGTCAAAGTCGTTAAAACCTTCGCGTGCAAATCGCATGCTTGTAATACAATGTGCCAGTCCTAATTTGTTTCAATCGCGAACATTTTGTCAGGGCATTTAATTCAATGTTGTTGCTCATTCAGATCCAATATTTTTAAATTTAATAATAACATTAGTCTCATATTTGTGTTAGCACCAAGTCTTGATGTAAATTGGTCTTGAGTTCAAATTCCGTTGAACATGGGGCATGGCTGCATGGTGTTTTTTAGTTTTCCCATGTATAATGTGTATATGAACCAGTGTTCCATAAAAAGCCCTCCACAAAGGGAAGAAGGCATCTCTTCTATCTTAGGGCAGATAGCTCTTGAGTGCTTTGCCCAACCAGCCCCCTATGTAGCAATCATCCTTCAGTACCTTCTTCCTTCCTAGTCCTTGAATTGAAGCATATGTGCTTCAATTTTTCTTACAGCTTCTTTACATAAAATATTCTTCATAACAATGCAGCATAAATAACAGTATTCTATACTATATTATGTATTGATATGATTATTACTGAGCTCCATAAACATGTGCAATATTCTAAAATTTTAAGTTATTAAATTATTTTAAGATTAATTATTAATAATTTTATTTAAGATTATTTAAATTAGATTTTCTAAAGGCATTTCACTTTGATATAAATCTTTCAGTTCTAGTTAGCAATCCCAGTTCCAATCCGTCTTTACCCTCAGTTTCTAATGAAATTATTTGACAGCTGTTTTCATTTTTCATCAATAGAGGGTGCCAGCAGCTTGACATCCTTCTTATCATTCTTATTGCCTAATCTTATTACTGCTTTTTCCTTCATCATTTGCACTTCTGCAGTTGAAGAAGGAGTTTCTATATTAAACCTTCAAAACTAGTCCTGTAAATTTATAAATATTGTGCTAATTCTTGTTGCTTGTTTAACTCCTGCAATAATAGTTATTTGCATGTCATTTTAACTCAAATACACTTGAGTTTCACATATGTAATATTCAATTAAAAACTCTTCCTTGCCAAATATAGATTTAAAAAGCTCAATGTAGCTTTTCCATAATTCTCTTTAGAGAGCAAAATCTTCTAATAAGCTGGCGAGTTCGGTTTCATGCATTGAAATAAATGATCAAATTTATCCTCAGAATTAAGAGATTCATATTTAACCAATATTTTCATTGCCATTCTGTAAAAGATAAATTTAAAGCAATTCAGCAGTATTCGTATTCAAGAGATACACAGTTTGCTTCACGTTAGTGCCTTTTCTGCTTAAAAACTGCTTTCTCTATAGAAAACAAATCATTTCTTAAAAATAATGAGCAATCCAGACTTTTTTAATGTTGGTTTGAAATTAAAATAGGTGAAAATTATGCAGGATACCTCTGTTTTATAAGGAGGACTTTGCTGCTGAACAGTGTAAATTATTATGAAATAAATGCTGTACATCTTATATGTATTACTTTGTATATTTTGACTTAAAATGTTGAATTTAAAGAAAATTCTGATCAGGAACAGTTTTCCCTTTCGTTATGAAAATAACTTGTACTTGCGTAGATCTTAAAATGTTTTCCCTTTTTTTTTTTTTTTTTTTTCAGGTAAGCTTTTCATTAGTTTTAACATTATTGATAAATATAAATACATAACATGAACAATAGTTAATTATTACTCAAAAGAATATCAGCTATAGAGCTATGATTAAAAACAATAAAGGCAATAGGATCATTAGGCTCACTGGCTTTCTTTAGTTCATCTAAAAGTCATCTAAAGAAATTAGAATGTCATTGTCTACAGAAACATCAGTCTTTTCTTTCAAAAACTGGGTCCATGCCACCAAATGTTACCTATTCAATAAAATGTCAGCACCAACTCTCCTGCTGAGATCTGCGAGATTTTCTTTCTCAGGGCACCAGTATCACTTAAACCCTGTATTTCATTCACTCTGTTGGTGGCAAATGATTTCTATCATTTTGTTGTCCTCTTAATCCAACAGAGTGATTTTTGAATTCGCCCAAAAAACATTGAGTGCCTTTTTTTAAATGCACCATTTTCTTGACTTTGCTTGCTAACTGAGCAGCAAGCAAAGCGCCGAATAATTCTAGTCTCGGAAGCGTGATTTTTCTTAGTGGCGTCGCTTCACACTTGCTAACCAATAAATTCACTTTGTTTGGGTTGTTTACTGTATTTGGTATTTTAGATTTTTCTGTATTTAACAATTTCGAATGAAGATGTTTGAAGTGTTTATGTACTTTTGCATTGCTGCGAAGTGATTGATTGTAACAGAAATGCATTTCTAATGAAATTCGAGGAAATAAGTCTAAAGAAATTGCAGGGATACAAGTAATATAAAAAAATTGTCTAAAGTCAATTCCTACTTAGATCAACACAGAAAACATTTTAAAAATACAACAAAATTTTAAATATGTGAAAAAATTATATTAACATCAAGTGTCATCAACTACAACTTTAAAAAAATGTATTTGAACTTCAGTGGACGAATAGAAAGTATTTTATTAACAATTGAAAATTTGCACAAGATATTGGTTGAGTGTGAGCTGATAGTAGGAATTTTAAAAAGTAAAATTTCAATAGTCAGTACAAGGCAGTCGCATGGTGTGCACATTATATATTTACTATGAATTTAATTGAAATCTTCTCTAACAAGTTTATTATTATCTATTTCAATGCAGATTGAATTTGAAGGTGAAACCACTGATGGAAACTTTGCTCTTGATGACGTCACCTTTTACGATGGGAACTGTCAAAGTAAGTATGATAACACATTTTTATGCTCTTTTTAAATGCAGCTAAGATGCTCTTCCCTATGTCAGTCTGTAGCGATATCTGCCATGAAACCTCTGGCAGCCCCCATTAAAATTTAGCCTTTGGAAAGTTGTCAGAATTAAAATCATAAAATGAAGTGCAGTACAAGTTGTCAAATGAAGAAAGTCCATGGTTTCACCGGACGGACATCATCAGCAACTACACCAATGCGGTGCAGGTATTTATATAAAATGTCTTGTCGAGAGTTGAAAATTTGCCGTAAAGAATGCACGGGGTATGTCCACTGGGATAGGCGAAAATACAAGAGTATTCCACACTTTATCGGTTGAAAGGAGTTTATACATTTAAAAGTTGGTCCACTTTCCTCTTTGCCTCAGAACTAAACTGTTAATTGGAGAGTGAGAAATGTGGCTAAAGTAATCATTTTTATCATTCAGATTTCAAATCATTATAGCATAATGTGGCTAGGGTACAAATAGGGCGCAGCCCCATCCACCTAATCGACAAGATTTTATGACAAACAAGGGCTGCGCCAGGATAGCTTACAGCCATTTTTTTAGGCAGAAGATGGGCTTTTTCATTTCCAGTGGCTGGGGATCCATTGAAAAACAAGCTCCGAGCCAAAAGCCATTGCATTGGATACATTTATCTTGGTCTCTTCAACAAGAAAGTAATCAGTAGGTGTATGAGAGACAGCTGCCCACTCGGGAGTGAGCAAATATAACTGCCTTGCTAAAGTTAGTATCAGGTACAAGAAGATTTAAAATTGCCTTTCCTGTGGCAAAAATCTCTGCGTCGAAGTTAGAGGCATTCAGATCAACAGAATAGGATTCCGCAAAATATCCTTCACAGTACAACCGGCACCAGTATTTTCCTTACGTGCAGTGTCATAAGTAGAAATGTGGATCCACTCACAGCTAGGGTTATTTGTAGCTATAACTTCTAAAAAAAAAAATTTTAAGAGCATCAGGAACTGCCTCGTATATTTTTTCAGCCATACCAATTTCAAGATTACAAGTAGGAGGAGAGAGGCTAAACTGGTTAGGGTGGAGTAAGGTAGGCGTGATTAGGTATTGCAATTTCGGACCAAAATTTCAATACCTGTATTCGGTAGTAGGAATTTTATAAAAAAAGAAGAAAACACAGGTGTTTCTTTGTTTTATTTGCCAATTTTATTAGAGTATATACCACCAAAAAATCATTCATAATTTATACATTATAACAGTATATAAAGAATTGTAAAGAAACGAGGACCATCTTATATATTTAAATCACAAAAAAGTGTAAATATCAGTATTCTGTGGTACTATTAAAATTTTTGAAATGTGATCTTAAAAAAACATAATTGAGCCTGGAGCGTAATTTTGTGTAAAAATTACCAGCTGTCTAAAACCCTCTTTCAGCATCTTACACTAGTAGGTGGTACTGTTAGCAAGGGCGATATACTTTTTCCAAGTATTTATCTCGAAATCCTTCATCTTCAAATAAATCGATTTCTCATTGGATGGTTTTGGATATAACTGATTTCTGTATTTTATTTTGGCTTGTTGAATTTTTTTTTAGTTAGTGCTAATTCTAATTTTTGTTCAAGAGACAATTCTTTTCACTATCGACATTAGTGCCATCATCATCTTCGATAACTGTACCGAATTCTTCTGTGTGTGGATAGGTTTGTGGGTAATTTAAGAAAGTTTAATATTTCTTTCTATTTTCATTTTAAGAAAATTTAACATAAACTTGATTTGATTAGTCTCTTCCTCTTTTTCATTTTTAAATCATTATAATTATGTAAATACCGTAAGCCATTTTCTATTTCAGTATGCCTTTCTCCTGTGCGATTTTTCAATGTAATATATAATTCTTTAAATAGTGATGTGAGCTGTTCCTTGTTGCACTAACTGTTAAGAAATTAGAATCTCTCCGTATCGGAAAAATTAATTGGGAGATTAAAGTCGATTGTTGCTTTTGGGGATTGCATATTTCAGTTTCATAAATCGTTCCATCACTAGGAGTAAATTGTTCCAACGTGGTTTAGAATCTAATATTAAAACATGTTCTGTTTTACTTCCAGTTATTATATATTTTTCAAATAAGGCATTTTTTGTAGGAGAATGTTTAAATGTCGTAACAATTTTTCAAACTTGATTAATTATAATGAACTTGATGAGTTAATATTTCATCCTCATTAGCAATATCTTCAACAGTTACAGGGTGATTATAAAGTTGTGATATCAAAACGCTGCTCTAACTTTAAAACTACCAGTTAGAATGACTGGATATTTTACCAGTGGAATCTGAACCATCGTGAAACAATTGAATTTTGTTTAGTGAAGGAAAAATACCATATTTGCCGCCGTATAAGACGCACTTTTTGTCTTTGAAAATAGGTCTGAACAATGGAATTCGTCTTTATACGTCAATACTCAGTTTTCGATTACATTTATTTCTCAAAATTTCCTCTATTCGGAGTTGCACAATCTTTTGTCTTGTTTTTTGCAGAGTATGGGAACATTAGTTACATAAAGTTCATTGAACCCGCATGCGCACATATCGACAATCACAGCTGAAAACTTTCCAATTTTTGTGAACGACTTTAAAGCGTGTGAAATTTCTACTGTTCAGTTATCTTTAATTTCTTGCCAAGTTATAGCTCAAAAACCATTGTCGGCATTGCTATAACATAACATACAAGGTACGTGTGATTGCGTATGGTAACAAGACTATAGATAGGCATTTCGGGCCACCCCGACTGATAAAATGATAAGAACTGTGAACTGGGATGCTGTGAAACTAAAGATAGTGTTTAAATCATTTAAGAAATGTGGTATTAGTAATGCACTGGAGGGTACAGGGGACAATTTGTTGTATGAGGACTCTGATGCTGATTTAGAAGGTTTCTATTGACTTTCCAGTTAGCTCTTGAGATGAGTATCTGAATTTTGACGAAAAAAATTAAAAGATGGTCTTTCCCGGATAGATTGGATATTTGCAGAAATTATTAACTTGTATTACTTTATATTTAAAATACTGTAAATTCATTATAATGATCAGTGATAACGTTTTATCCTTCAAAAATGTGTATAAAAAAGGGGTGCGTCATATATGCCGGCAAATACGGTAGTTTAAAAAATGTGCCGATAGATGGCGTTGTCAGGGTTTACATGGCTGTTGTAGAGATATGGATATTTCAAGACTTGACATGCACACCACAGATGTAGCTGTGATAAAAATGCAGAACATTAGCGGAACACGTAATGCTTTGCTTAAATGCTTCGTTGTTTGACAATTAAGGATCGCGCTCTGCTCGTGAAACTTTTCTGTCAGAACGATGACTCTGCGTTAACAGCTATCAGGAAGTTCTGGACATTAAAGGGCATAAACTTCGCCCCCAAAACCGCTTACGGCCTGTGAAAACTGATGGATAAATTCAAAGAGACAGATTTATTTAACGTGAAATGAGGTAGAGGACGAAACCCAGTTGCGACAGTGGAAGATGTGGCTACAAAGTTCCAAGAATAGACGAACAGTGATACAGGAATCAGCAGTGCATGGGGAACTGGACGAATGTTGGATATGCCTATCAGCACTGTGCGTAATGTCCTGTGGAACATCTTGCGCTGTTATCCGTGCAAGCTAACTCATGTGCAGAACTTTCTACTTGCTTACCTGGAAACATGTGAATCGTTTGCACAGTGATTTCTTGCCCGGATGGAAGTGAAGAATGGATGGCCAGGGAATATTCTGTGGTCTGGGGGAGCCCATTCCGTTTTGCAAGGTTCTGTAAATACTCAAAATTGCAGGATATCGGTGATCAAGAATCCGTTCCTGCTACAGCGAGTACCTCTTCAGTCTAAAAAGGTCACTGTGGGGCGGAATAATGGCAGCGTTTGTCATAGGTCCGTTCTTCTTCGAGATCACATCTGCAGGGATCATTAACTGCTTAACCATGTCCTTCTGGCAATTCAGCAGCATCAGTGGTTCGCACAAGATGCAAGATGGTGCTCCTCTGGACATTGCTACTTCTATGAAGGAACTGCTGACCACTCATAAAATCATAACCTGCCATTTTCCAACAGTTTTACTGCCACGTTCGCCCAACTAAACCCATGTGATTTTTGGCTTTGGGGGATACCTGAAAAGTATTGTTTGCAGTCGGTAGGTTGGGAATCTGGCCGACTTGAAGGCAACCATCACTTACCACATTCATAGCATCAGCACAGATACCCTCCGGAACTGTACTGGAACATGTCGTTTTGTACTTCCAACTAGTAGTGAAACAAGGTGGATGCCATATCGAACAACTTATGCACGTTTGTTTTCATGAAGCTTTTCCTTTTTCTCTTGTCATTATCATTGTACACACATATTCTTTAAACTATTCACTGTAAACATGTCTTTTTGCCTGTCTTAAAGCCTTGGAGTCTATTATTTTCTTTTGGCTAACAACATTCGTGTGGTTATTGATTAGGTCTTACCCCTGCTAGCGTAGTCTATCGCCACATTTTGGAACTATTTTTTCCCTTCGCCAAACAAAATTTCATTGCCTCTCGATTGTTCTGGCAAAATATCAAGTCATTCTGACCTGTAGTTTTAAAGTTAATGTTCTGAAATCGCAACTTTAATTATAATCACCCTGTACCTTGTCATTATCTTCATTGTCACTCTCTTCAACGTCGGAATCGGAAGTTTCTATATCTACAGTATGCGGGTTCTTCTGTTGTTTATTATTTTTGGTATAATACATCTACTACTCCTAATTGGAGAGAGTGTGCGTGTACGTGCGAGAGACAGAGTGAGTGCGAGAGACAGAGTGAGTGGGTGTGAGGAGCGTTTGAGAGAGTATACTCTCTCTAGCACTCTCACTCTCGCGACCCACACTCTGTCTCTCGCACTCACACACTATCTCTCTCGCAATCACACTTCTCTTTCACTCTCTCTCTCTCGACTCACTCACGGAGAGCGGAGTCAGAGATGAGTTCTCTGAGTGAGCGAAAGGGTGAGAGTGTGAGTGCTGAGAGAGTTTCAGAGTGAGAGACTCTCTAGAGAGACTGTGTCTCTCACTCTCACAAAACACTCCCTCTCTCTCGAGTCTCGAGTGAGTGCAAGAGAGAGTGTGTGTGAGTGAGAGTGTGTGCGAGTGCTAGAGATTGAGTGAGAGTGACAGAGTGAGTGGGTGAGTAGGTGTGAGGAGGGTTTGAGAGAGAGAGTACACTCTCTCACAAGCACACTTTTCTCTCACACACTCTCTCTCGAGTGTGAGAGGGAGTGAGTGAGAGTATGAGTGCAAGAGAGAGTGAGTGGGTGTGAAGAGCGTTTGAGAGGGTACTCTCTCTTGCTCACACCTCTCTTTCACTCCTCAGTGCGAGAGAGTGTGTGAGCACGAGAGAGATGTGAGTGCGAGAGAGAGAGTGAGTGAGAGTAAGTGGATGTGAGGAGTGTTTGAGAGAGTATACTCTCTCACTCACTCTCTCGCACGAGTGCGAGAGTCTCACTCACACACTCTCGAGTGAGAGAGAGTGTGCGTGTGAGAGAAAGTATGTGCTCGAGAAGAGTGAGTGGGTGTGAGGAACGTTTGACAGAGTGCGTGCACAAGTCCTGCGAGTCAGAGTGCATTTGAAAGAGTAAGTACACTCTCTTACACTCGCAGGCGTTCTCTCTTGCACTTGTCCACGCACAAACTCCTCATACCCACTCACTCTCTCTGTCGCACTCTGTTCTCAACTCGAGTGTGATTGAGAGAAAGTGTGTGAGTGCGAGAGAGAGTGTACTTACTCTGACTCGCAGGCATTCTCTCTCGCACTCGTGCACGCACACTGTCTCTCACACTTTCTCACTCACTCGTACACTCTCCCTCTCTCTTGAGGGCAAGAGGGAGTGTGTGGGAGTGCGAGAGAGAGTGTGCGTGTATGTGAGTGCGACAGAGAGTGAGTGGTGTGAGGAGTTTGTGTGTGCACAAGTGCAAGAGAGCTCTCTCAAACGCACTCTGTCACACTCACTTTCGTGCACTACACTTCTCTCTGCACTCGAGAGTATGTGATTGATAGAAAGTGTGTGTGAGAGAAAGAGCATACTCTCTCAAACGCTCCTTACATCCACTTACTCTCGCACACTCACACTCTCTCAGCACAGTGTGGAGAGAGGTGTAGCAGAGAGAGTGTGCGAGAGATCTCTCTCAACGCTCCTCACACCCACTCACTCCTCTTGCACTCATCTCTCACTCTGCACTCTCTTTCAGTCTCACACTCTGTGCACAGAGAGGGGGAGTGAAAGAGAGGTGTGGAGCAAGAGAGAGTACCCTCTCAAACGCTCTTCACACCCACTCACTCTCGCACTCGAGAGAGAGAGAGAGTGTTGAGAGAAAGTGTGAGAGAGAGAGACAGAGTGTACTCTCTCTCTCACCCCTCCTCACCCACCCACTCTGTCTCTCACTCATCTCACTCGCACAACTCTCACCACACTCTCTCTCGACTCGAGAGTGTCTAGAAAGTGTGTGGTGCTAGAGAGCACTCTTCTCTCAAATGCACACTCACTCTCTTGCAGTCTCTCTCAAACGTTCCTCACTCACTCTGCTCACTCTCACACACTCTCACTCTCTCTCTCTCTGCACTCACTCGCACACACACTCTCTCACAGTCGAGAGAGAGTATGTGATTTGCACTTTCTCTCAAACACTCCTCACACCCTCACTCACTCTGTCGCACTCACATACTTTCTGGCACGTACACACTTCTCTTGCACACTCGCACTCTCTCTGCACACACTCTCTTTGACTCTCGCACTCAACTCTCACTCACTCACTCACTCCTCCCTCTCCCTCTTATTTCGTAAGATAACCCCTGTGTATCTAGTACTATGGTACTCAAATTTTTACACACCTTTGATCACCGACGCTTTCCACACACGTTGCCCTTCAGTTCCCTAAAGTGTCACAGAGATAGGGCTGACATTGTCAAATACTTTTCCCCGAATACAGGGTTAGCAAGAAAATACATAGCAAGCGAGCAAATTCCAAAGACGTCTCACCCCAGTTCTGCATAGCCAGCCAAGCCAAATATTACCTTAAATTATCACCCAGCTCAATCAGGGCTCAGTCAGTAAACCGACTATGCGACCCACACTTCTTGAAAAGTGCTTCGGGTGCCCAAGAGAGAACCATTGCTCTGTGTATGTTGATCTAGCTGCGAGTATTCCCTGAGCTACAAAACACGGAAAATGGACTCTGGAATACTCTGGAATCTGGTATCAGGGAGTAATCAGTCTTAAAAATGACGACACACTCAGAATAAGACGTCATGCTCATGAAGCAATGGATCCTGCATGCCAGGCCATGGCGACTTAATCATGGTTTGGGCTGTTTTCTCTTTGGCACTATTTCGATGTTTTGCTACTTGTATCAATCTCCCTCCGTATGCTTCGGTACGTGGAGTTGCTGGCCAATCTTCTCTATCCATTTATATAACCTATTAAGTGTTTCTTTAACCATGCCTGTATCAACAAGTTAATGCAAATGTACCTCAACTACTAGATGTTCAACAGTTGCCCCTGTAGGGCTATGTATCTACACTTAGTTCTTAAATAAACTCCCAGGGAGGAAGCGGAACATATGCCTGTTAACCTCTGTTAAACTTCAGGCGTCCCCATCCTCCATCACCTGTCTTTCATACGGAAATTCAGTATTCCAGCAAGATAATTGCACCTCTCACAGGTCCCGGTTGCCTACTGCATGCCTACATCACCATGCCTCTGACTTCTGCGTCATGAATTAGTTACCTAGAAACCCTAAATGACTTAATCCTATTGAGAATCTTTAGGGGGAAAATGTAAAATTCCAGAAAATTATTGAATCAATGCCTGGTAGTGTTGCGGCCAGATGAGGCCAAACGTCTTATGGACTAGCTATCCAAAATACAGTTAACACTTTTTGTACATAAAATTCTTTTCTTTTCCAGCTCATCCTGTAGAAGCAGCAGTGGAGCCCCCTCCATCTGAGAAATTCCAAGTGGTTTAAGAAACTGCTAAAAAATGGAAAAGAAAAATGCCGCTTTTAAAATACAGAATATTTCTAATTAAAGCAACCAAAAAAATATAAAAATTAGGCTTACCATGTTTCATAAAGTGCCTTATATTTACTCCTGCATCCCATTACAGTGGCAAACTGAAAATCAGATACTTTCCTCAACCATCTCTGCTTTGCGGCAAATTTTGATGCTTTGGAAAAGATATCGATATTACTTTCTGTCGTATTGAAGGACAAGCTGAGACTTCAAAGAGGAATCTGCCATTATTTTCATGCAACTGTGGTATCAGCCAGCTTTTTGTTGTCGCATCTACGGCATTTTCGTGGCATTCGAATAAATCTTAGCATGCCACATAAATAAATGTCTGCTCAATTCGCAAAGCTATATGTGAAACAAATCTGACACATTAAAAAACTGAAATGTTTCACGTCATGTAATTATAAATAACCTTGTATTTAAATACATTAATACTAAAACTATTTAAAATTATGACAATTTTTATACTACATCATTAAAAAAGATATCAGTTTTGCAAGAAACTCTATTGAATCTTTCCTTTTAAATAGCATGTGCGTAATTACTATAAATTCAATATAAATTAATGTTTATTAAAGAAAAAGAACAAAATGGAAAGCCTTAACCTAATTTAAAAATTGATATTTGCTAAAAAAAATCTTAGCAGTATTTTAACACACGTAAGGCAATTTAAAATTTCACGATCACCGTTTTGATTACACATTATCATACACCTGGTCACGTGTGCATCGAAGATCGAATTTCGAGTTTTTAGATTTACTTTTTGCAAAGTTAATACTTTGCACTAACTTTCATTAACAAACTCGACGATTTCAAAGCAATAGATGGCCACTCTGCAAGACTTATGATATTTGTCTTTCAAATTTCATCAAAACCAGCAATTTCAAAGAAATATGTTCACGCTCCAATTTGTTTCCATTTGGCGAAGCATAAAATACTTTTTTTTTCCAGTCTTCACAGTATATAACCTGCCTCTTACTGATAACCAAATTAAGCGATTTAAAATCAACTAGTTCTTTCAACAAGTTCTTTGTGTCTTTTATTATTAATTGCTTAGTTGGACATGTCAAATCAATCTAGGACTCATTATAATTGTATATTTTTTTCCTAATAACTATTTTAAACACTTGGTTTAAAAAAATACGTAAGTGAGAAATATATATATTCTTTAACTTATTTTTTCGTGTTTTTTCCTAATTTCTTTTGGTGAATATTTTTCCATTCTCTGTCCTTGTATTCAGTTATACAACCAAGCGATAAAATGTTTTCCACTTCTAACACAAAACTGAATATGTATACTCTGTTCAATATTTATGGTGTCGAATAATAATAAAGTATATAGCAAACATAAAATTACAGTCTTTTAATAAAATTGTGAAAAATTACAAAAATGTATAAATGAGTAAAATAAAGCATTTGTACTTGCGTTTTTTTTTTATTATTATTATTATTATTTCAATTTTTTTATTTTATTTTTTTATTTAGACCGAAATTCACAGGTGCACTTTTACAACGCATTTCAAAACGACGTCGCATGACCCAACATCTTACGCATTTTGCGACGAGAATGTAGTATGACAAAGCGAAACCGATATTTCTGCTTAAAAGAAAAATGTAAGCAAAGACCTGAAATCCAAGTCTTTGCGACGGTCAGACAATCGTGGAATTTCGCATATATCTAGGTAGCTTAAAAAGGATGGATTTCATTATGCTGAATAAAACAAAAATTTATCTTTTAAATGCCAGATAAAATAATAACGGTTTAAATGAGGTCTTTTTCGTTGTTGTGTTTGTACTCATAATCTACTTAAATTGATATTTTTATATTTTTTTAACTTTCTACTAATATTTTCTACATTGCCGTAATAGCAATTCTGAAACTACAGAAGATTTTCTTATTCCTATAAATACTAAGTTATGATTTCAGATCTGAAGAATAAATTGTGCAAATTTCGCTTCAAAATTTAGTACATTACATTATTTTATATAATGCATTATACTCTGGTACCTCAAAACTTTAAACGGTTTTTATTTTATGGGTTCGCCAACGAAAGGGCGCCACAGATAAAACTTTGTTATATTCGTTGCTGCAAATGCACAGCACATCAGCACGAGCAGAACTACCATAATAATTGCATTTTTCTACAAGTAGGACTAAAAACTTCTCCACTTTAAAATCATAAAGTGGTCTCCTTCCCCACTACGACGTACCCCGTAGGGTAACTACTTTAGGAGTCAAAGTCTTTTAGACTAAATACTCCTTCCTACCGCAATTCATGCCGTGCAAATACGCATTTAACTCATGAAATGTAAAGATTCAACACATTTGTAACCATAAGGGTCACTTATAATTTAGTTATGAATAAATCAAAGGTAAATTTTAATTTAGTACCATGTATTTTCACACGCGAAAAGCACCCGTAAATAATATTCTAAAATATTCAATGTAGCTGCAAATAATGGTGAAAAATATTTAAAATAAAAGCAATAACAATCAAAATTCTGAAAGAATTACGATTTTAACGGTCGCCCAAGAGGATCAAAGTTTTTATGCTGTCGCTAAGCTCGCAGTCTAAGAGTCTGTTACATTCCCTCTTACCAACCCCCCTTTTATTCCTTTGTCTATTTAGCTCTATTATAAACCACCATTAACACTTATACCATATAAAGTATGTGTCATCTTTTCAAGGTATATGTGAATCTTTTGAAACAGAGTCAACCATTTAAAATAACTGTCTACTTTTTGTAAAAAAGCCTTTTAACAAATGAAATTAATTTTAAAGGTAACCTTCCCGTAGCCAAATACATATTCTCACTCACGTTATTCGACAGAAACAAATATTCTTTAATATTACATGTTTGGAATATGCACAACATAAATTATTCTTGTAAAATTAATCAAATGTATTTTAATCTTCCTGCGATATTAATTATAAAGACAAAAACTTTGTTATGACCCCGAATATTAAAATTATCCAATATAATACATTTTCATAAAATATCAATCTTTAACATACTGAAAATTTAAAAATAACAAATATTTTCTTACGATAAAATATATTATTTTATTTCTTCAGTACACGTTTTCAGACGATTCTTTTTTCATACCTCGTGTTAATTATTTTTTCTCAAACGTTACAAGTATAAAAAATTATCTTTTTTTAATTCATGAAATAAATTTAAATAACAATTATAAGCACAAATTTGTGATCTGGTTCCTTTGAATTCTGATCTTTAAAAAGTAGACATGCTGATATTTTCCACCAAGGTAACAAACATTCTTAAAGAAGAATTTACAACAAAGAAAAAATAAATAAGTAAAAGCATTTATTTATTGTCCGATATTTTACTTTCGTAGAAGAACAACTTGTGTAAAAGCTCATGCTGCTAATTCAAATGAAACTTACTGAAAACTCATCGTAGGATAATTAATAAATTACATTTTCTTAATTTTTAAGCAGCGAGTAAAATTAATTCCTACAATTAATTTCTTAAAAACTTAAATCTGAAACTGAGATGCATTTCAATAAATTTTATTGGTTTATTCTTACCTCACCTCTGAAATAGGTCAATATACTCATGAGCTAAGTAATTCTGCGATTTGTAAAATTAGTGAATTATTTTTTAACGTCAAAAGAAACGTCAGTGTCAAGTATAAAATTAGGTAAAAATTCCAAATTTAAGTTAGCTTTGGTTTTATAATAAAACTCGATCCATTTCTAGGAAGAGAAGGCAAAAGGGTCTTTCATTTTCCGTACGAAAAAAAAAAAAAAAGATCCACCAGTACAATGAAAACTACCTTCCTTTGAAAAAATATAAACAAATAAAAATAAATGAAAAATAAAAAAAGTCTGAAATTATATTCGACAGAATATTAAGGCTCGCCCAAAACGGTTTGCTAAGGTTTTCAGGTTCGCAGTCTGCCTGTCTGCTGTTGCACTCCCTCCTACTAACCCCCTTTTTTTATCTTTTTAGCTCTATGATTAAGCATTATTTTCTTCGCACTTACGCTTTATACAATTCAATCAGAAAATTACAAAACTTTCAAAAGCAGCACACCAGTATACGTTTAAGAATTCCCGATGCCAGGGTTGTTGGAATACACTTTTCTGCTCTCGTACATTCCTGTGAAAATGGGGCTGAGCAGTTGCAAAATGTGCTATGAAGGGTAACGCAAACGGCTGCAGATGTCATCAACAAACCGTTTAAAATTGCCTATGCAGGATGCATGTTAAGTTGTCTATTCCCATATGTGCTATATAAGCAATAACCACAAATGCATAGTATATGTAACAATAAGCCCAGTATACAAGAGACAACAACTAATAGTGACTCAGGTGTACTGCGTGCACCTCGCAAACTACGATCAATGCACCATGCATACTACAGAATCCAACCATGAGTGATACACCCTGTACACTCATCAAACCATACAACAGTGTACTCGATAGATCATAAGAACTGTGCACTTTATAAACTACATAAGCCCCACATGAACTGTGCAAAACGACTTTTCGTATAACTAAGAACTGTTTGTCTTACAAACTGTATGATCTCTATGAACTTAATACTATTCGAATATCTTTACAAACCAAATGAACTGTGTACCTTAAAAACTCTGTGAATCGCCTAAAAACTCATAAGGTTTACAATGCCTAATATATAAAATGCAATGTTAAATTTAAGATGTTAGCATGTCAAATTTATGTATAAGGAATGTATGTGCCACATTTTAATGTTTCAATAAATGCTGACGCGGGGTTCCTCTGGATAGTTAGTGTACAGGGGCAATACCACTTATGTGATGTAATGGTGCCCCTTACACTTTTTTCCTGTCCTGTCCTGTCCAGTACATGACGTGCTGTCGTAAGACACATCACACCAAGAGTAATGGCCACTGTCAAACTAAGGCTGATTGGGCCTTGGTTCCTCCACACGCGGAGGTGATCGTCATCTGCTCCAAGACTGAATGGAGATTCATCGCTGAGCTCTACGCTTAATACTACACAACGATGCCAGTCGGTTGGCAGTACGATGATCAGTTACGAAAACCACTCCAGACGACTCTGTCGGTATTCTGAAGATAAAGGCAGACGTCTTCAATGCCGCTGTGAGCGTAAATCCACCTCAAGCAAGCACCGTGAGATGACGGAAGGTACCACGGTGTGAAAGATAGCTGTAGCACGTTAAATAGCGGACAATTACACCGTTTGGGCATGTGACACAATCTTCTGATCTTTCCTCGTTTCCGTGAGCATTTGTTTTCTAGCGCCTTCCGCCGATGAGCGTCTTGCTGCTTCACGAAAATCTAAAATGCGGCCACGTTCGAAGTTGTGCAACTGTCTATCAAATTTTCAACAACGTCCTTAACGGCATTATTGATTGTGTTTCCAGGAAACTGCAACACCAAGAAGGAGAAAAGATTAAACCGTCACTGTACTATGCAAGTTGCGCAACAGAAACAGGCGCTGCGTTCGAAGTTAACAATCATTGCACTGATCAT